AGCATCTCGGAGTTGGAATAAATGCTTTGATAGTGTGATCAAAGCATATGGTTTTATACAGACTTTTGGAGAAGCCTGTATTTACAAGAAAGTGAGTGGGAGCTCTGTAGCATTTCTGATATTATATGTAGATGACATATTATTAATTGGAAATGATATAGAATTTCTGGATAGCATAAAGGGATACTTGAATAAAAGTTTTTCAATGAAAGATCTAGGTGAAGCTGCTTACATATTGGGCATCAAGATCTATAGAGATAGATCAAGACGCTTAATAGGACTTTCACAAAGCACATACCTTGATAAAATTTTGAAAAAGTTCAAAATGGATCAGGCAAAGAAAGGGTTCTTGCCCGTGCTTCAAGGTGTGAAGTTGAGTCAAACTCAATGCCCGACCACAGCAGAAGATAGAGAGAAAATGAAAGATATTCCCTATGCTTCAGCCATAGGCTCTATCATGTATGCAATGCTATGTACCAGACCTCACGTATGCTTAGCAATAAGTTTGGCAGGGAGGTACCAAAGTAATCCAGGAGCGGATCACTGGACAGCGGTCAAGAACATCCTGAAATACCTGAAAAGGACTAAGGATATGTTTCTCGTATATGGAGGTGACAAAGAGCTAGTCGTAAATGGTTACGTCGATGCAAGCTTTGACACTGATCCGGACGATTCTAAATCGCAAACTGGATACGTGTTTTTATTAAACGGTGGAGCTGTAAGTTGGTGCAGTTCTAAACAAAGCGTCGTGGCGGGATCTACATCTGAAGCTGAGTACATAGCTGCTTCGGAAGCAACAAATGAAGGAGTCTGGATGAAGGAGTTCATTTCCGATCTAGGTGTCATACCTAGTGCATCGGGACCAATGAAGATCTTCTGTGACAATACTGGTGCAATTGCTTTGGCAAATGAATCCAGATTTCACAAGAGGACCAAGCACATCAAGAGACGCTTCAATTCCATCCGGGACCAAGTCCAAGTGGGAGACATAGAAATTTGCAAGATACATACGGATCTGAATGTTGCAGACCCATTGACTAAGCCTCTCTCACGAGCAAAACATGATCAGCACCAAGACTCCATGGGTGTTAGAATCATTACTATGTAATCTAGATTATTGACTCTAGTGCAGGTGGGAGACTGAAGGAAATATGCCCTAGAGGCAATAATAAAGTTATTATTTATTTCCTCATATCATGATAAATGTTTATTATTCATGCTAGAATTGTATTAACCGGAAACATGATACATGTGTGAATACATAGACAAACATATAGTCACTAGTATGCCTCTACTTGACTAGCTCATTAATCAAAGATGGTTATGTTTCCTAACCATAGACATGTGTTGTCATCTGATTAATGGGATCACATCATTAGGAGAATGATGTGATTGACATGACCCATTCCGTTAGCCTAGCACTTGATCGTTTAGTATATTGCTATTGCTTTCTTCATGACTTATACATGTTCCTGTAACTATGAGATTATGCAACTCCCGTTTACCGGAGGAACACTTTGGGTACTACCAAACGTCACAATGTAACTGGGTGATTATAAAGGAGTACTACAGGTGTCTCCGAAGGTACATGTTGAGTTGGCGTATTTCGAGATTAGGTTTTGTCACTTCGATTGTCGGAGAGGTATCTCTGGGCCCTCTCGGTAATGCACATCACTATAAGCCTTGCAAGCAATGTGACCAATGAGTTGGTTACGGGATGATGCATTACGTAACGAGTAAAGAGACTTGCCGGTAACGAGATTGAACTAGGTATTGGATACCGACGATCAAATCTCGGGCAAGTAACATACCGATGACAAAAGGAACAACGTATGTTGTTATGCGGTTTGACCGATAAAGATCTTCGTAGAATATGTAGGAACCAATATGGGCATCCAGGTTCCGCTATTGGTTATTGACCGAGAATAGTTCTAGGTCATGTCTAGATAGTTCTCGAACCCGTAGGGTCCGCACGCTTAACGTTACGATGACAGTTTTATTATGAGTTTATAAGTTTTGATGTACCGAAGTTTGTTCGGAGTCCTGGATGTGATCACGGACATGACGAGGAGTCTCGAAATGGTCGAGACATAAAGATTAATATATTGGACGACTATATTCGGACACCGGAAGTGTTCCGGGTGATTTCGGAGAAAACCGAAGTGCCAGAGGGTTACCGGAACCCCCCCCCCCGGGAGAGTTAATGGGCCACATGGGCCTTGGTGGGAAGAGAGAGGGGCGGCCAGGGTGGGCCGTGCGCCCCCTCTCCCTCTGGTCCGAATTGGACTAGGAGGGGGGGCGGCGCCCCCCTCTTTCCTTCCCCCTCCCCCCCTTCCTTTCCCCCTCCTAGTAGGAGTAGGAAAGGGGGAGTCCTACTCCTACTAGGAGGAGTACTCCTCCTCCTTGGTGCGCCCCAAGGGGCCGGCCGGCCTCCCCTCTTGCTCCTTTATATACGGGGGCAGGGGGGCACCCTAGAACACACACAAGTTGATCTACGGATCGTTCCTTAGCCGTGTGCGGTGCCCCCCTCCACCATATTCCACCTCGGTCATATCATCGCGGAGTTTAGGCGAAGCCCTGGCGCCGGTAGAGCATCATCATCGTCACCACGCCGTCGTGCTGACGGAACTCATCCCCGAAGCTTTGCTGGATCGGAGCCCGGGAATCGTCATCGAGCTGAACGTGTGCTGAACTCGGAGGTGCCGTACGTTCGGTACTTGGATCGGTCGGATCGTGAAGACGTACGACTACATCAACCGCATTGTCATAATGCTTCCGCTTACGGTCTACGAGGGTACGTGGACAACACTCTCTCCTCTCATTGCTATGCCATCACCATGATCTTGCGTGTACGTAGGAATTTTTTTGAAATTACTACGTTCCCCAATAGACCCCTGCCGAGTTCAATGACACGATTATTGTTATGATCCCGAAAGTGAACTCACCGGAGTTACTTTCGCAGTTTCGCCCTATCAGTTTATGTAATGTGTTGTACAAGATAGCTACGAAGGTCTTGGCGAATAGATTGAAGGGCATACTTCCTCCCCTTATCTCTGAGGAACAGAGCGCTTTTGTGCCAGGGCGGTTGATTACTGACAATGTGTTGGTGGCATACGAGTGTGTGCATGCAATCAAGCAGAGGAAGAGGAAGAAGAGTTTATGTGCCATCAAATTGGATATGATGAAGGCGTACGACAGGGTGGACATTAGCATGATTAAAATTGGAAATATTTTACCAAAAAATACAAAAACAAATTGTAGGCAAGATGTGTGAGTGCATGATGTCTGTGCAAAATTTGGTGAAGTTTGGACATTCCAGGTGCATGCGGAAAAAGACAAAATCAGATGTGAACAGTGTTGTTTTTAAATGTTCCTCACAGACCCTTTTTTTGCCACGAGCTATTCAATTGTCCAAACTTCATGAAATTTTGCACGAACATCGCGCATCTGAGCATCTTGCATCACAAATTTTTTGGAATTTTTTGAGTTTGTTTTCTATTTGTTTTTACGACTGTACTGTTCATGCCTGAGCCCGGGCATCAAAACGCTGCGTCCATACCCTCATTTCTTTCATAAAGAAACCCCAGTAGAACCCTTCCCTACTGTTTTTCAGCCAATAAAATAAAATAAAAAATCTCACAAGTCCTTTTTTAGGAGTAGTTTTGTCTGGAGCTCACTTTTTCTAATGGAAAATCGTTTTTGAAAAGATTTTATGTAAGTTTTTTTAGTGGTAGAATATTTTTTTGAGAAGATTTTATGTAAAAAAAATTAGGGGTAGAAGACTTTTATTATATGATAGAAAATCAAGTTGCTTTCTTTCCAGCGGACACTGTACTATGGACCAGCGCGTCCGATATCTCCAACTGGGCTAAGCCCATCTGTGCACAATGATTCCCTTCCACACCCCTCGAAGAAAGTCTCTCCCTTCCTAATAATAATTCCTAATCTGAAAGGAGAAGAAAAAAAATGTATCTCCCTCCCCTTCCGCGGCCGGCGGGCGGCGGCTGGCCGCCTCGCCGCATGCCCCGCGGCCATCGACCACCTTCCCCGGCTCCGGTGCCTCCTCCAGATCTTCCTCGACCATCTCTGTCCTTGCGCCGAAGAATTTATCTTCCAGGTACAGATCAGAATTAGTCCTGGGCAGCGGGTACCATTTCCTAGATTGCCTCCATCGTCTCTGATTGTGCTGACTGTCGATACAGAGCCATGCGGGGCGCCACCAGTGCCATATTTGATTGCGCTCACACGTTTGCTCGCATTGACTGCCTCTCGAGTCCTAACCTAGATAGCCGTCCAAGTCCGCTTTCCATCGGTGGAGGCAGGCAGGGAGAAGGCGGGAGATATGCCAAGTAGGAGCCCTTTGGTTGCTGAGGAGAAGGCAGGAGCTATGCGGAAGGGCTTCCCAATTTTGGAGCGAAAATAAGGTGAGTAAGTTAAGAACATACTGTAACTCTTAAGACAAAACCTGCGCCGGTTTAGTTTGACCTCAACGCTCAATTCGTGATACCAATTATGTTTGGCAAGTATGTTTATTTGGTTATGTTTCTCTTTTTGTGTGGCTTTTCTTTTTTCACGCGTCTGCCATCGAAGCCTGAATTGCTGCTCCAGGAGGCAGGAAGGATCAAAGTTCAGATTGGTAGGGTATTGTCTTCAGCATACTGGATATCAACAACATATGGTGATATGGTCCAATATCAGAGTTGATTAAGCATCTGTGTGCCATGGCCTCCAAGTGTCACCCTGATAATGACATAATCCATACATCGTACCATTTGTAATTTCTTACTCTTATTATGGGCATCCATCCACAATAAACTAGCATGTAGCTTCTCCTTAATCTAAACTGACATTACCTCATTTATTGAGAGCCTGCCATTTGTAAACCACCAGGTCCACTGGACCACCACTGTAGTGGAGGGCCGGCCGGCTCATCTGGAGAACTAATACTCCCTGAGTCCCTGTAGCCATGAACCACCACCCATCCGAACTCCGAAGACACCATGAAGCATCTCCATCCTGTAGGCCTGCTGCTCTCTTGCTCCTGTCTCCTACTATGTGCAGTCGCGCTAGTGAGAGTGGACACCCGGCGTGAAGCTGAAGCACTTGTGAGGTGGAAGGCTAGCTTGGCCGGTGCCGATGAGTCCCTTGGGCCATGGTCGTTGGCCAACTCCACCAGCCTTTGCAGCTGGACGCACATCACTTGCGACTCGGCCCGGCACATCATAGGGCTCAACCTTATCCAAACAAACCTGAGTGGCACACTTGATGAGTTGGACTTCTCTGCCTTTCCCCACTTGAGGAGACTCATCCTGATCCAGAATGGTCTAATCGGTACAATTCCAGCAGGGATTGGCAACCTGACAAGCTTGGTCACCCTGAGGATCATGCGGAACCCATACTTAAGGGGGGGCATTCCACGCAGCATTGGACAGCTGAAACAACTTGTTGATCTGCAACTGGAAGCTTTGGGGCTCGATGGCACACTACCTGAAGAGATTGGTAACTTGACAAGCTTGATAGTGCTCGATATCAATTTGGTTAATTTGGCAGGATCGATCCCACCAACAATTGGGATGCTCATGCAGCTCGGCCAGTTGAGCCTGGTAGGCAATAATTTGACAGGGAGCATTCCAATGGAGATAGGAAACATGACAGGACTGCAGACCATAGACCTTCATGAGAACTATTTGGGAGGGCAGCTGCCAGGTACCATCTCTCATCTGATCAAACTTGAGATTTTGGATCTGTCAGAAAATCAGCTGGTCGGTCGCTTCCCCGAGCTTGGGAATAGCAGCATCATGTATTCGGTCAAAATAGCAAATAACAACTTCTCCGGGCAGTTCCCATCATCCATTTGCGTAGGAGGAGCGCTGATTCTGGTCAGTGCTGGATACAATGGGTTTACGGGTATTCACCGTCGGATATTTCAAAACTGCACAACCCTTGAACAGGTTGACTTCACGGCAAACAACATTGTTGCAGAGCTAAGTGACTGTTTTAGTGAGCATCCAGGACAGCTTAGCACCATGGCTTTCAGTCAAAACCAGCTGCATGGCACACTTCTGAAGGATCGGGGTGAGGATTTCCTTTGTAACCATACTAATTTAGGCTTCCTAGACCTATCAGATAATGCCTTAAATGGACGTCTTTCCAAGTGTTTTTGGGAGTTGCAATATTTGCAATTCCTGGACCTGTCCAGCAACTCTTTCAGTGGTGTGGTTCCATTCTCGAGGACATGTCAAGATCAACTTAAATATCTACTCCTAGCCAATAACAATTTTACAGGATCTTTTCCTCTAGGTCTTAAGAAATGCAAAAACCTTACTACTCTAGATCTTGGAGGCAATAATTTTTCTGGCACAATACCTTCTTGGGTAAGCATGAGTTTGCCTGAACTCAACTTTCTTAGACTGTCATCAAACATGTTTGACGGCATCATACCCCATGAGATCTTACAATTTCGCCGACTCCATGTATTGGACTTGTCCAAAAACAAGTTCACCGGACCTGTTCCTGATGATTTTAGGAATTTTACTGGCATGGCAGAAGAACAGAAAAACTTGGACTCCATGTGCCCTGACCGCAATATTTATGAAGTGCAGATTCAAATAGTTTGGAAAAATGTTGATCATGTTTACCATCTAATGATAGCAGCCATGGTGGGTATCGACTTATCTGGTAACTCTCTTTCACAAGAGATCCCTGATGGGCTCACCACTCTTCTTGGACTCAGGTACTTGAACTTATCAGGAAATCATCTATCAGGTCATATTCCCGAAGACATTGGCAATCTGGTACTGCTGGAATCCTTGGACCTTTCTCGGAACCAACTTTGGGGGGAAATTCCTCCAAGCTTTGCAGATTTGAAGAGCATAAGCACTCTGAATCTCTCAGGCAACGGGTTATCAGGGAGTATACCTACTAGCAATCAGCTGCGGACACTCGTAGATCCGTCGATATACAGCAATAATCCTGGATTATGCGGGGCTCCGTTGGAAGACTGCATTAACTCCTCGACACCGACGCAAACTGAAACAAGCCTGGATGAAGATAGAGAGGCAGTGTGGTTGTATTGCTTCCTGGCTGCTGGGTTCATCTTCGGCTTCTGGCTGTACTGGGGCATCTTCTTGTTTCGCAGCGAAACCTGGAGGTGTGCATTCTACCAGTCTATGGACAACATGCAAGCCAAGGTGACGAAGAAAGTATACAGCTGCATCTCCCGCTTCTGGGCCGGCGGCTCTGAATGAGAAAGCGCATCGCTTTGGCGCTGAAGTAAAGGGGTTTGTGTGTGTGTGTGTGTGTGTGTGTGTGTGTGTGTGTGTGATATTTCCCTTCCTTGGTTTGTAGAAGAATTGCAGTGAGCAAGTTTTTTGTATCTGCTGATGCTTTGACATGTACAAGTACAAGTGATCTGTCTTTTTTTTTGACAATAGTACAAGTGATCTGTTTAAGTATGTGCTGCTGGAGCCATGTAACCAGGTGAGGAAAGCACATTTCCGCACTGTAGCAAGGAATCTGTAAGTTGGCGTTGGGTGTCTTATCTTCTTGTTCCTCGCCCAAGTATTCGTTTGGTCACATCAAGTACCAATCGAACAAATTTGTTATCACCAGCTTGAAAAATCTTAGTTCTGTACATATATGCACTGCTGATTTGACAATGACATATTCTTTATTTGCACATTTCTGGACTGGTATTTCCATTATCAATACCAGTCATCTTGTCATAATTTCGTTGGACTGGAGGAAAATCTCGCAAATCTCGGAACAAATAAGTAGACGAACAAAAATGCAATTGGTACGAAGGCGTCTATCGACAATTAATTGACAGCGAACGACCGATGGATCAGCAGCAGCGTGTGAACAAGCGGGAAGAGGAGCGGCCTTGTGGCGACGGACGTGCGCCAATGGTGAAACAGAAAAATGGGCAGCGCCTGATGGTCGAACTGATCTGAAGAAATGAATTGAGGTACTGTCTTGGTTTCCTGGGAAAGCAGGACACGTATGATACAATTCAGATCATCAAGCTTGTGGGGCATTGGCATTTAGGAGGCGCTGTACAATACTATTTGGAAACGTTGTGCATTGATATTAGAATGCATTTACCGATATGTGCCCACAAATTGATACCCTTAATTGCCAGTGTTAATTTAGCATTGATATGGTTCCTGATTTGTCGTCTCACTTCATCACTATAAAAAAAGGCTTCGCCATCTCGTTTGTTCCTCGCAACTCAGAGCCAGACAAACCATCAGCAAGGCCCTTCCTCCTATCGACAGTACCACATCTAGCTAAAGATGAAGAATACACATGCGCTGCTCCTGGCCGTTGCCTTCCTCGTGCTGGCATCAGGTATTCCTCTTACGATGATGCGTCGCTTCATCAACCAGACAAACGACCATATGCTTCAGTCTATTCATGTTTTTTGTTTTTATTTGTAGAGGCTGCGGTGAAGGCGGACGACATTTGTGCAGGGTCAGTCCACAAGACGCCGATACCGTGTGATCTCCCGGGTTGCCTGCACATTTGCCGCGAGAATGCGAATGGGCTAGGGCCGTGCCCTACTTGCAACTGGACTGCTAACTGCAACGCGTATACTGGATTGTGCGAGTGCAATATCTGCATGCCTCCTCCTTCTGCTCCTAGCCAGCAATAAGGCGACTGATAATACGTATATGCTAGCTTTCTGATATAGGATAGTTTGTTCTTTGTAATAATTAAGAACAATGCCGTAATGGTATGTCTGGTGTGATCTACTCATTGTAGAATTTGATGTTGCTCCACAGGTTATATGAGATGATATATGAAGTGGGAAGTGGGCTATATTACTTGCTTTACATTGTAGAATTTTAACATGGTCCCAAACTATTTTTGCCATCTTATTCTTGGATCAGAGGGCCATACGATCTCTTATCTTCTAAGCGGTTAGATTACTAAATAGGGAAATGTTTTATTTTTTGGAAAAGCACCTATTTATTATACGGAGATAAGTATATTACTAGGAACTCTTGCTGTATCGAGTATTACATGCAAATAAAATTAAAGCTTCCAGAAAATAGTATGTATTTATTTTGTTTTGATTTTTATTAAGGCATTCACAATTTGTTTGAATCATCCATACATATTCTCTATATGATGAAGTGTGTCGCGTGGTGTTGAAGTAATGGCATGCGCAGATTATTTCTGTAATATTTCCCTTGGTTAGTTGGTTGTAAAATTATCTGCTAGTACTTTGATGTGTATGGCGTTATTCAAGTTTTGTGGCACTGAAACCTACTGGTTTCAGATGAACTGTACAATTTCTGCATTTTGGTTGTGTGGTAGCTAAGGTTGTTTGGAGTAAAGTGAATGAGTTCTCTGGAACGGGTTGTCATAATTTTGTGGAGTTCATGTATAAATGTGGCAATTGTTGGATAAGTGAGCAACTAGTATTTCCTGAGGGCCAAAGGCCATTACATATACATATGTGTCAAAGTGCAGAAAACCCCTTATACAATGGGGATATACCGAAAAGGGGACTATACACATCTAACACCCCCCCTCAAACTCATGGTGGATCAACAACACTGAGTTTGGAGAGAAAAAAGCCGTGCTGCGCTCGAGTCTGTGCCTTGGTGAAGAAGTCCGCCAACTGTAACTCAGAGGGCACATAGTGCACAGCAGCACGCACAAAGTGGGCATCCACTCCGATGTGCTTGGTGAGCTCATGCTTCACCGGGTCACGCGCAATACTGATAGCGCCAGTACTGTCTGACAGCAAGGGAGTCGAGGTGGTAGCAGATACACCAAAATCCTCAAGTAACCACCGTAACCAGATCACCTCAGCCGTCAACATAGCCATGGCTCGTAACTCAGCCTCTGTGCTCGAGCGAGAAACTGCAGTCTGTTTCTTTGTCTTCCAGGCAATAAGAGAGCCACCAAGAAAGACACAATAAGCAGACAGCGAGCGTCGATCAGAGGGATCACTAGCCCAGGTAGCATCAGAATAGGCCTGGAGCTCAAGAGAGCTGGAGCGGGGAAAGAAAAGGCGCTGAGAGATCGTGCCACGAAGATATCGTAGAACACGAAGGAGATGACTATAGTGGACAGAGGTGGGGGCCGAAACAAACTGACTCAGGATGTGGACAGGATAGCAGATGTCAGGACGCGTAACAGCAAGATAGACAAGACTGCCAACAAGATGACGATAGCGAGTGGGATTAGGAAGAGGGTCACCATCGGTGGCACGAAGCTGAATGTTGAGCTCCATAGGAGTCACAACCGTGCGCTCATCACCGAGAGCAGCGCGAGCAAGAAGATCCTGAATATATTTTTCTTGGGAGATGTAGAAGCCATCAGAGGTCGAGGAGATCTCAATCCCAAGAAAGTAGTGAAGTGGACCAAGATCAGTCATGAGGAACTGATCGCGAAGGCGAGCCTTAACAAAGGCAATATAGTCAAGGTCGTCACCAGTGATGATCATGTCATCAACATAGAGGAGGAGAAGAGTCCGACCACGAGGAGACGTGTGAACAAACAACGCGGGATCATGATCACTGGGAAAGAAACCAGCTGCAGTCACCACAGAGGCGAAGCGCTCAAACCAGGTGCGAGGGGCCTGTTTAAGGCCATAGAGGGAGCGGCGAAGTCGACAGACCATACCATCAGGAGCGTAGTACCCCGGTGGTGGCTGCATATAAACCACCTCACGCAACTCGCCATTGAGAAAGGCGTTCTGAACATCAAGTTGAGAGATAGACCACTGGCGAACAGAGGCCACAGCAAGAAGAGTGCGGACAGTGATCATGTGGGCCACAGGAGCGAATGTCTTATCATAATCGCGCCCCTGCTCCTGCTGAAAACCACGGGCCACAAGACGAGCTTTGTAGCGCTCAAGAGAACCAATGGAGTGAGTCTTAACCTTGTAGACCCACTTGCAGGTGATGGGACGGACAGCGGAAGGAAGGGGAACCAGATCCCATGTGCCCGAGCGCTCAAGAGCAGCAAGCTCTTCGGCCATCGCAAGTTGCCATTCAGGCTGAGTCATGGCAGTGCGGTAGGAAGTGGGCTCAGCAATAGCAGAGAGACCATACCGATCAGGGGAGTAGCGATCAGGTGGGGGGCGAGGCCGAGCACGAAGGTTGTGAACCGGGGGAGGCGTGGGAGGAGGTGCACCAGAGGTGGACGGCTCGTCAGAGGAAACGTCCTCAGTACAAAATCGGCGAGTATAGTGGAGAGGAAATGGTGAGAGAGGGTGACGGACTAGAGATGATGGTGGAGAGGTGGAGGAGGAGGATGGAGAAGACAGTGTCGGTGGGGAATGAGAAGGAATGAGAGGTGCTGGAGGAAGAGGTGACACATGAGGCACATAGCCGGGTGTGTCAGGAAGGAGCAGGAAAGAAATGTCATCCATAGAGAAACTCGAGGAAGAAGAGCGTGGGTAGTAAGAACGAGACTCGTCAAAAGTCACATCACGCGAGATGCGCAAGCGACGACCCACGGGATCCCAACATCGATAGCCCTTGTGCTCATCACTGTAGCCAAGAAAGACACACTCAACCGACTGAGCAGTCAGTTTGGTGCGTTCTCGTGGGGCAAGAAGGACATAGCACACACATCCAAACATCCAAAGAGCAGAGTAGTCAGGGGAATGTCCAGTGAGACACTCCATAGGAATACCACCCTGCAAAGCAGTCGATGGCTGAATGTTGATGAGATAAGTGGATGCAGAGGCAACCTCAGCCCAAAAGTGAGGCGGAAGGGAAGCGGCAATCATCAGCGCACGAGCCGTTTCGAGTAGATGACGATGCTTACGTTCGGCAACGCCGTTCTGAGCATGAGCACCAGGACATGAGAACTGGGCAAGAGTACCCTGTTCCGCAAGAAAACCACGCAACAGCTGAGAGATAAACTCACCAGTGGAGTCAGCACGAAAAGTACGAATGGGCGTGGAAAACTGGGTGTGAACCATGGCAGCAAAACATTTGTATATAGGGAGAACCTCGCTACGAGATTTCATGAAGTAGAGCCAGGTGTAGCGAGAGAAACCATCAATAAACAGGATATAATAGCGTTGACCACCTTGAGAATCAAAGGGGGCAGGACCCCAAACATCAGAATGAACTAAGTCAAAAGGACGCTGAGATACCGACTCACTGGTAGGATAAGGCAACTGAGTCTGTTTTCCAAGTCTGCAACCATTACAATGTAAAGAAACATCTCCAGATACAGAACCCAAGAGGCCCTGGCGAACTAGGGAAGACAAGCGAGA